TGGTCACAGTGTCAAAAAAGCTGACGAAAACAGACTGCTTAATGAGTACAGAGTTTTCTTTCAGGGTGATGGAAATGTTTGGGACCTCAGTGGCGGTCATGGTGGCACAACACTGTGGACAGGCTAGATGCCTCCGAGTTGTTCACCTTAGAGGCTAACTTCAGAGGCTGCACGTAGCTCTGTGGCAGAGCACTCGGCTGGCCCGTGAGGGGCACCACCCATCACCAGCACTGCAAGGTTGCATGGATTTCTCCTCGATTATAAAATTTTTAAAATTAAGCAAATACATAGGAGGAGAACAGAATTCAAGGAACAGGCCCATAGGAGCGGGCTTGACAGGCCCCGGGAGCAGCAGCCACCAAGGCACAGAGGCCTGGGGATAGGAAGAGGGTTGGGGAATTGGGAGTGACCGTGTGATGGGATGGGGACACAGGCTTGTGCACTTCTTGGGAGTGGGAGCCCCAGGGAGCTGTGGGGTGGCAGACAGGGACCCCAGGGAGGAGGAGGCACAGGGCCATCCAGGTGCACCTGGCTCAGCAGGGTCACAGTGGAGTTGGGAGCCAGTGGCAGGTGGGGAGAGGAAAGGGTGAAGCCCCCTGGCCTCCCTGGGAACTAGGTGGACAAGAGGAAGCGTTCCCGCCACCTCCTGGTCAGTCCGGGCACAGAACTGTCCCCTCAGTGAACAGATGCGAGAACCTTCTATGTGCCGGGCACCGTTCCAGGGGCTGGACACAGACACAGTCCTGCCCTTGTGGGCCAGACAGCACAGTGCGGAGAGACTGGGGTGACAGACCAAAAATACGCCCCAAATCAATAGATCATTGATGGCGGAGAGTGATAAGCGCGTGAGGGCTGAGATCCGGAGGGTGGAGGAAAGGCCTCCCAGAAGAGGGGGGGACGCTGGAGAGAGGACCCAGGGGGAGAGAGCAGGGACTGTGGCCTCAACTGCGGGCCTTTGGGGACAGAGCAGAGGGGACCGCCTGCGCAAAGACCCCGCGGAGCTTCGAGTCACCCTGAAGGAGAGGGGACAGGGGAGGAAGGGGCTGCTGACTAGCGCAAGTGGCAGCCCAAGAGAACCAGACGTTGCGGCGAGGGCTCGGGATTTGGTTCTGTAGCCGGGCTCCCCTGTGACAACCCTGGAGGAGAAGGGACTCTCAGGAGGGCAGCTGGAGGGGGTCCCTGGCCCGCCCCGCCCCGCCCCCTCGGGGTTTGTTGATGGACAGCTCAAAAGTGAACCCTGAAAGTCCCCCCAAGAAACCCGGCAGGTGCAGAAAGTCAACAGGAGGGGCGCGCGGGGAGCGGGGAGCAGGCCTGACGCCGCTGAGAGGAGAGCAGCTGGAGAAGGCTCCAGGAAGGCGGGAGGGGCGGCGAGACCCGCGCACCGGGGCTCCTGGATGACGCACGAGGGCCCACGCGCCCAGGGCCGGACTCGGGGAGCCGCGGCCCGAGGTGTGACGCACTATCTGCCAGGCCGCCAGGCACAGACCGTGACGCGCAGACCCGGACAAAGCCCCCAGGAGCCGGGATGCAGAGAAGGCGGGGGACACAGATGTGAGTAGATAGAGAAGGCAGGGATGACATGTAGCCCGACAGCCCAGGCTGGTGAGGCCTCCAGAGCCCCAGAGAGACAAGGCATGACACGCAGACAGTCACCCAGACTGGCCCCAGCCCTCGAGGAAGCCAGGAGGCAAGAGGTGCAGAGGCTCAGAAAGGAGCCTGCAGACCCCTTTCCTCCCAGGTGGAGACAGTCAGCCAAAAACCCATGTCAGGACACAGGGCTGTCAGACACACAGAGGTGAAGAGAAACAGACACATGCAAACCAGGCACCAGGATGCCCAAATGTGCATGCACACACACACACACACACACACTCACACACACACACACACACACACACACGCAGAGACAGAGCAGACACAAACCTGGCCCTCCCAGAGGCAGAGATCCAACCCCCACACAGACAGGCCTGAGCCAGACCACAGCACCTGCCAGTGTGGGCCGTCAGCGGACCTCCAGGGTGGGAGAGGAGGACACAGGTCAGCAGAAGTGAGGTGAAGAAGACAAGGAAGAGTGTGGGGGACAGAGCCCAGAGCCTGGCCAACTTGAGGTCTCCCCGACCAGAGGCCGGGGCCTTGGTGGGGCTGGGGAGTGTCCGTGAGCAATGGCTGAAGGCCTGGCTGCTGGTGGAGGAGGCTCACTGTGTAGGCCCTGCAACAGGTGACCCGGAAGGGAGATGAGGCCTATTTGGGGACCATGTGCACAGGACATGAGCAAGGAAGGGAAGGGAGTGTGAGGACCAGCCTGGGGGACTGAATTGGGTGCCAGCAAGCAGTGGGCCTGTGAGGCAGGATGCCTGGTGGCTTTATGGAATGACACGGTGAGCAGGGGTGCAAGGGGATCTGGAACTCTCCGTAGAGGCCGGCCGTAGAGGTCAGTGTGGTCTCTACCAAGTGAGGCCCAGAGTGGAGGAGGTGGCAGGCACAGCTGGAGCTACAGCATGTGAAGTGAAGGCAAAGGAGAGGGGCTCCTGGAGGATCAGGGACAGCTGGGGGCCCCAGAACAAGGCCAGCGGGGTCTGTCCAAGGTCAAGGCAAGGTCACCAAGCACAGCAGGGTGGGGTAAGAAGGAGGTTCAGAGGTGAGGTCAGCTGGGATGGAGAGGGGAGAGACCAAGTGGGGGCCTGCAGGACTCGGGGGTCCTCCTGCAGTGGGAGAGAGGAACTGTGTGGGGGTAGGAGTCTGCCGCTCCGCCCCAAGATCCTGGCTAGACACCAGGATCTGGTGGAGCAAGGAGAGTTTGCAGGAGGGGTGGAGGGCAGCGGGAAGAGGTGGTCAGAGTTGGGGCAGCCCAGCCCGCACTCACCCCTCAGGGACAGCAAGGGGAGGGAGGAGAGAGAAACGGGTTCAGGTCCACCTGGAAACATCCAGATGAGCCCCCAGGAGTGGGAGAGAAAGAGAAGGAGGCAGCGGAGTGGGAGGGGGAGCGGGAGTAGGCGGTGGGCAAGCGGGAGGCGCTCTCGCTGCAGTGACGCAGAGGACGGGGCCAGAATTCAATAAGGTTTGGAGGGGGAGGGGGAGGGGCAGGACACACAGCGCGAGCGTCCTAGGAGGCTTTCAATAATTGTTGATTGAATGAAGGGACAAAGCGAGTGCGCCCAGAAGAGGAGCAGCAGCCGAGGAAGTTCCAAGACAAATAGACAGAATGTCACACGTAGCTGCAGTGAGGGAAAAAACAAAACAGGCAAGTTGGGGCCTTGAAACAACAGTGTCACCGGTAATGGAGGCAGTCATGCGAGACTCGCGGAGGTTTCACTTGGGATCCAGGCACTTGGAGGCGTCAACCCGATTTTTTTAAATGAGAGAAAGGATGAAAGAGGGAGTGAGAGATGGGAGCGGCAGAGGGAGACAGGAGTAGGCACTCGCACACGGTGACGGTGACGGGTGACGCCCAGGTAAGGACACCCTGAGGAAGGACTGAGGAAAAGAGAAGAAGAAAGGTCATGTGGTCAGAAGAGGACAGCTCCCAGAGAGCCCAGGAGCCGCCCAGAGTGGGTGGGAGTGGCCGGCCCCAGCAGGTGTCCAGGAGGAATGGCCGGCCCTCAGGGCGCCCTGTTGGAGGCAGGGGTGCCAAGCAAGGTGTGCAGGGGAGAAGGGACAGCAAGACGCCGCCTTGGGTGGCCTTGAAGGGTGCAGGACAGGCAGCTGGGAAGAGTCCGGAGCCTGGAGCCTCACCAGGCTGTTCTGTTGTGTTGTTCTGTTGTGGGGAACAGAGGTGGGGCAGGGGTGGGTGCAGAGGTGGCCCGCAGGATCTCAGGGGACAGAGGACAATCGTGGAGCCCAGGAAAGGGGCCCAGAAACAACTCCTGGACAGACGAGCTAATGGAGAGGTGGAAGAGTGGACAGCTTGCTGGTGCTCATCTGGACAGAGCCTCAAAGATGGGCACGAGAAGGGACCCGAGACACCTTGGGGGCCAGCGGGGGAGAGACCGGACACTGGCCTGGAATCTCCAAGCTGGGGCGGGAGGAGGAGGGCAGAGTGGGCGCAGGGCAGCCCCTCACACGCGCGCCCTCCCGGGGCAGTTGGCCATGTGTTGACCAAAAGAGAACATAAAGGAAACTCCCCCAGAGTGGGACAAAGAATTAGGGAAAGTGACAGAGATGGCCCGCGGTCAGACAGCTTGTCACACACACACATACACACACACGCCTGTCCATGGACGCTGCACACAAGAGCCAGGGCAGACTTCAGGAGCACCTTAGAGACAGGGAGAGAACAGGCGGGAAGGAGGGGAGGCGGGCTCACACACACACACACACACACACACACACACACGCACACACACACGCCAGCAGAGGCAGCTGCTACGTGAGTGTTCCAGGAAGAGCTGTTGGGGGAAGAAGACAACCCGGCCCACAGCAGTGACCCCACACCTGCAGGCTGGAGGGCAGAGCCACAGGCCGGGAGGGCAGGGCCCAGCGCCACGCAGGCACTGGCACAGCCTTGGGAGGCCCGGGCAAGGGCTGGGGGCACGGAACAGGAGGTGGAGGGACAGCCAAGCCTGCGGGAAAGAGAAGACAGGGCACACACACAGATACACACACACACACACACAGAGACACGGGCGCACACACAGGTGCGCGGCACAGTCACATCCTAACGGGAAGCTAATTAATGCCTGAGCTTAGAAACCCAGAGGCTGAAACAGAAAGAAACAAAGAAACAGAGACAAAAAGGAACAAAACGAAAGAGAAAGAGAAAGAGACAGGAAGACAGAGGGGACGAGAGAGCAGCGCCCAGCCACCCAGGCCGCCTCTTAGGAACCGGATTCGGATTGAACGAAGAGACCCACCGAGAATGAAAGAAAGAGGACAGTGTCCTAGTGATGTGAGGGACCCTCGGCACAGCCCCTGCTGGATTCAGGCCACAGTAAGGGACCCTGTGCCACAGACACCGGCCTGCACACACTGTGCTCCAGTGCACACTAGCCACACACACCCCAGGCAGGCGCACGGCGGCCACAGAACATCACACAGTGCAACACACACACACACACACACACACACACACGCGCGCGCCTGGACAGCGGGAGAGGAGTGGGGGAGCTCGAGGTACAGGGAGGAGAACGGGGTCCAGACCCAAGAAATCACACACACGTGCACACTCACATGTGCACACTCACAGAGAGCAGCAGGGTGCCCAGGGCAAAGACAGATGAAGCCCCAGCGTGGAGAGGGACATGGGAGACCAACAGGAAGGGCAGGAGCTGCAGGCCTCCCTCCTCTCTTGGAGACTGTGTCTGTCTGTCCTCTCTCACACTCTCTGGCCCTGGCTCGGGCTTTTCTGCTGCCTGGGGGCCCCCTCTGCTGCCCCCCTCCCCTCCTTTCTCCCACCCATCCTTTGGCCTTTGCTTGCTCCGGGGGACTCCCTGCCCCTCTGGACGGGCTCAGAACTGGCTCCTGAGGTCTCAGGCCTTTCTGCATGTCCCTCCCTCCTGTCCTTCAGGCCTTGCCTTGCGGAAGGCTGGACCTGGCTGATTTCCTCACCCCAAACCCCTAACCCCAGCCGGGGGGCGGGGGGCCTTCAGCAGGGGCTCCGTGGAGCTGGCCAAGGGAAGGACGCAGAGCCAGAGAGGGGACAAGCGGACGAGGGCTTCTGCGCCTGAGTGAGAGGGAGCGGGAGCTTCAGGACTGAGCTGGAGAGAAAAAGCTGAGGACCAAGGAGCGAGCAGAGGGCAGGGGAGGGAAGGGTCCAGATAGGGCACGAGGTGGGGCGGGCCTGCAAGAGGGGCCTGGTGCCCACGCACACGCCTGATAGAGGCTGCCCACACGCACGGAGCCAGGGCCTCCCCTCAAAGGGGGAGAGAACAGGGGGTGGGAGGAGGGCTGCCCCTCTGCCTCGCTGCCATGCACAGGGACACGGGTGCACCGCACACAGGCCGCGCTGCAGGCAGGAGCACCATGGAGTGACAGGAGAGCAAGCCCTGGGGATGGCAGGGACTCCACACAGCTGGTGCAGGGGGCGGGGCAGCGGGGCAGCGCCCTGGAGACACCACAGGCCTAGGAGGCAGGAGGCCCAGGGACGGGCCGAACCCCCCCACAGACACCAAGTCCACCCGTGTGCTTTGAGGGAATCAAAGCCAAAGAAGGGGACAGACCGGCTAGCGGCTAGTGTGGGAGAGACGGACAGAGAGACAGAGACCGAGGGAGGGGACAGGCACTCACACACACCGTCTGGCTTTGATGCACGTCCCAAGCCCAGCATAGCGCAGAGACAGTTCATGGGGGGACAGGGACCCACAGTCGACCGGGCCCGGCCAAAGAGGCACCAGCAAATCTCCAGCCCACGGGAGCTTTAGGGACTATAAAGTGTTTAATTTTCTCTTACAATAAAATAAAGATGAACTTTGGCTCAAAGGAAAAACAGATTTTTTAAAAAAATAGTGCTGGGGATGAAACCAGGCCGTCGCACAGACGGGCCAGGCAAGCTCTCCCCCCCAGCTCCACCCAAGCCCTTAGAAAATGTCTCAATACACAACAGTGACATGGCCCCCTTTTTTATCAATGTTGTCATAAAATACAATTTTGCATTTCTTTTATGGAAGAAGAGCCCACAAAAGTCAGAACAGGGCTCTGTCTGGGTGCCAGCCTGGGCTGAGGTTAGGACAGATGCCATCACAGGGAACACCGGAGACACGGGGACCGGGAAAGGGGCCAGGCTGAAGAACGAGAGACGTCAGGGAGCAGGAGCTCGGTGCAGGGCAGTGGGCAGGAGCAGGGAGCGCCGGGCAGCTGCAGGAGCCTCAAGTGCCTGAGGGGGGGGGGGGGACAAAGAACCCAGCAGGCAGGGAGGGGGGGAGAGAGAAAGTGAAGGGCCACAGCAGAACCCCAGCCCCCAAGGCCTGCGCCCAGCACCAGAGGGGAATAGCGCTGCCTCTGCAGAGGGCACAGGAGTTTAGGGACTCGGGTGGGCTGCAGGCGGGACGCCTGGGGGTGCTGCAGGGAAGCCCTCCTGGAGGCAGCCCTGAGGCGGAGGCTACCTTGAGACGGAGGCTGCAGGGAGCATGGGCCATGAGAAGTAGAACACCCTAGGACCCCCAGGGATACAGGAAAGCAGGTGGGCGCCTGCACGCGCACACACACCCACACGCGTGGACGCCATAGGAGAGGGGGAGGGAGACAGGGAGACAGACCCTCTGGCTCAGGAATTCAGCCACATCAGCGTGCGCACACACACCCGCCCCAACCTGGACAATCGGGGAAAGAAATGGGCATTCAAAAAGACCACAGCAAGAGGAAGGCAGAGGCTGACACTCACACGTGGACACTGGTCCAGGATCCAGGAGACATGCTGCTGGGGCACAGTCCCAGCTCGGGGTGGAAACCCAGGAGAGGAGAGGGTTGGGGACAGCAAGAACCAGGATGCACCCCCCGGGGTCAGAGAGCTCAGCCTCCGCCAGGTCCCTGATCTCTTTCCCTCCTGTCCCCACCCTTCCTGTCCCAGCCAGCCTCTGTCCAAGCCTTCTTCTCCCCCCTGCAAACCACAGCTTTCTGGAACCCATGAGAGAAAAACAGGAAAGGAAGACAGATGAGAGGAAATGCAGGCCGTGCGAGCGTGCGTGTGTGCCTGAGTGTGCACAGGCAGATGCACCCCGTGCAAGGTCTGGGCAAGAGAATTTCGTAAGGGGGGACACAGGGAGGGAGGAGAAAGCCAGCGCAGCCAGGAGCAGCTCAGACGGGAGACCGGAGAGGCCCGCGCTGGGGCCCAGGAGCGCGCCCACCACCCTCCAGGCAGGAGGGCGCGTCGGCCATCGTGGTTGGACGGTGAGTCTTTCCTCCTCTGACAAAAGGGACACAGATTATTTTTGTCATGGAGGAAAATATATTTTATTTTCTCAAAAGAACTGCATGCAGAATAATAGCAAAAACTCACTGAAGGCAGAAGGGGAGGCGGGGAGCACAGGTCCAGGTCCCGACCCTCAAGTGGTGGGAAACGGGACAGGGCGGAAGGAAGAGCTGAGGGGCCAGAGGCGGTGGCCCTGGTGGCCACAGCAGGGTGGACATCGCTTGCCTTCCCCTCTCTGTGCCTTGTCGGTGATGCCCGGGCGCATGGGTCACACCTCCTGACTTCACAGAGGACACACATCACAGACCCCTACCCATGCCCCACCCCTGCCCCGGCAAGCCCATGGGGTCTCCAGGGGTCCATTCTGACCTGGACCCAATGGCATTTGTTCGTGAAATTAACCCTGAACTGAGCAGTATCCAGTGTTCACCAGCTCTGGGGGGCGGAAACCCAGGAGAGGAGAGGGTTGGGGACAGCAAGAACCAGGATGCACCCCCCGTGGTCAGAGAGCTCAGCCTGCTCCAACTCTAGGGCCACAGGGGCCTCGCCCACACAGGCGACGTCTGATGTAAGACGAGGGTCCTTCCACGGGCGGTGGCAGATCACCTCCGCAGGATGGACTCTGGGGGTCTTCGAACTTCCTTCAGGGCCAGTGCTCGGGTCCGTCGCAGACCACCCCCACCCGGCACCCCCAGGGACATAGGAACCCGGCACAGCCCCATCTCAGGATCGCCACCTACACAGCAGCACCCACTCCACTTGGGCCTGGCAGCCCCCGCGGCCCCACCCAGTCCCCAGAGTCTGCTGCCACCACCGCCAGGCATCCAAGTCCAGAACCTCCCAGTCTTTGGGGTCCTGGGCTTGGCCTGGCGCTTCTCCCAGTGTGACTCCCCAACACAGGTGCGGACTGCACACACAGCCCCCGCGGCCATCCCCATCGGATCCTGTCCCTGTGGCCTACTGCCCTCCAGCCACCAGCATTACTGGGACAAAGGCCCCTCTGACTGCAGCTGCCCCCACCCACTCTCTGCACACAGTAGATGTTCAATAAACCCGCAGCCACGTTCTGAGGTCTCTTTGTGTTTAATCAGACAATATGCAAAGTATTTACAACCAATTCTAGGTCCCCCCGCCCCCCCAAGCCTGGGCCATGGAATGTGGGACCCCCAGGCCCTGCCCAGAGCCAGGGGTCCCCGAGGCCTCTGCATAGTCACCTGAAATCTACAAAACACTGTTTAAAAAAAATAGGACAGTATGAGGACGCCTTATACCAAGGGCCTTGGGCAGCCGGAGGAGTGATGGGGAGCGCAGGGGTGGGCGGGCCCAGGTTGGACTGGGCTGCACAGGAAGAGCCCTGGGAGACGGACATGTGTAGGAGGAAAAGTCGGGATTTCCTAGGCAGGTGCCTCCTTCCCCCTGCCAGGGCCTGGCTGGCTCAAGAGCCCCTGGCAGCGGGGACGTTATTGCTGTGATGGGGACAGTGGGTGGAATGGACCACGTGTCGGGGGACAGAGAGGGGGCATTTTTTACATGTTAAATATGGACACACATGGAGACACACACACGTGCACACACACATACACAGGGGCCCTTGGCAAGATGCCACAAATCGTCAGCTGCCCACTTTACAGATGGGCACACTGAGGCTGGAAGAGAAGCCACCACATACCCTGAACAGCAGAGCCAGGGCCCCAAGTCTCCCAACGGGCTCACCACAGGTGCCCTGCCACAGGGGTGGACAGGGCTGAGCAGCCGCAGAGACCGCGGCCACACGAGGGGCAGACTCCGCAGCTCAGAGCAGCAGCAGGTGCCCGAGGTCACACAGCCCCTCGGGGCCCGCCCTCTCCGACCCCGGCCAAGGCACTCCTCGCCCTACTCGAGAGTTCAGGGTGCCAGCTTGGGAGGAGAGCGGGTACCACGTTGAAATGTTCAGGACAAACTGGGAAGGAGGCCCGGGGTTCCCTCCGGAGGCCAGCCCAGAGCCTCAGCCTTAGCTCTCCCTTGCCTCTGGAACCCAGGAGCAATGCCCTGTCATAGCTGGTGGCTCCAGGAACCCAGACCACCTGTGGGCTGACGGAAGCCCCCACACCTTCCCCTGCGGCCGCTCCTTCCCTCCCGGCTCAGCCTGGCCTCCGCCTCCGTTCTCCTCACCCCCAGACAGGCCTTTGCCATCTCTAACCCGTCCTGGCCCCTTGTCCCCTGGGCTGCTCTAGTCTGTCCCTAATGCCTCTGAGGACAATTCTCGGTTCCTGAGGAAGACAGAGGGAGCACCAGGTACCATCCCTCAAGTGCTCTGGCATCTGGGGCAAGTCACATCCTCTCGGACTCTGCTTTCCCACAGGTAAGATGGAAGAAGGGAACTGAAGATCCCCAAGGGCCCCTGGGGTGGACGGGGCAGGGCTGGGTCACGCTGGGCTGGAGCAGGGGGCCCTGGGCCAGCAACCTCCACCCACGTTTCAGAAAGAAATGGCGAGGGGCGGGCGGCGGGAGGCTGAGGGCCGGGGCCACCGCTCCTCTTTGGAAAGGCTCTTTGGCCAGCTGTGGGGACAGGCCGGGGGCCTCAGTGGAGGGACAGAACCAGGTGAGCGGGCAGGTTGAGGCTGGAAAGACGGCGCCCCAGCCCCAACCCTTCTCCCCTGTGTCTCCTCCAGGGACGGGCAGAGGAGGGAAAGTGGAGAGGAGGCGGGTGGCCAGGGCAGGCCCTGGGACAGTCACTGTGCCGGCTCTGGGCCCGTCCTCACGGGCGCACCACACGTCCCAAAGCCCTTCCATGGCCCCAGAGACAGAGCAGCCTTGACCCTGGCCGTCAGCCCCACAGGAGGAGCAGCAGTGGGCGGCAGAGGAGGCCAGGCCCCGCACGCACGGGGGCTGGAGCCGAGAACAGTCTGGCCCGCCTGCTCCTATAGGTTCTCCCCGGGCTGGTACTGGGGCTCCGTGGACGTGAAGTAGTCCTCCAGGAAGGCCTGCAGGTACTCAAAGGTGGGCCGCTCCTCGGGCTCCTTCCGCCAGCACTGGCACATGAGGTCGTGCAGGGACTCGGGACACTCGGGCGGGCAGGGCATCCGGTAGCCCCGCTCGACTTGATCCAGCACCTCGCGATTCACCATCCCTGGGGGCAGAGGGGGCGTGAGGAGCCTGGCTCCAGGCAGGAAGTGGGGCAGGAGAAGATGATGGGGACAGGAGAGCTCCGCCCAGGCCCTGAGAGAACCTAAGGCCAGCTGCTCACTTTTTGTTACACACTGGGGAAGCCGCTGGGAGGGAGTGGGGCTGCCCGAGGCCACCAGGGTCCAGGGATTCGGGGACCAATGGGGTCTATGGACGCTTCTCACCAGGGTAGGGCACTCGTCCCTTTGTCGTGAGCTCCGTCAGCAAGATTCCAAAGGACCACACATCTGACTTGATGGTGAACCGGCCGTAGAGGGCGGCTTCTGGAGCCGTCCACTTGATGGGGAATTTGGCCCCTGTGGGCGGGAGAAGGTCAGGGAGTTGCAGCAAGCACTCTGCCCCCAAGGCCCCCTTCTCATCTCCGCTTGGCAGATGAGGAGACCGAGGCTCAGAGGCGGAGCGTGGCCTGCTCACCTTGCCGGGCCGTGTACTCGTTGTCCTCGATGAGCCGGGCCAGCCCGAAGTCGGCCACCTTGCACACCAGGTTCTCCCCGACCAGGATGTTAGCGGCGCGGAGGTCCCGGTGCACGTAGTTCATCCGCTCCACGTACGCCATGCCCGAGGCGATCTGCAGGCAGAGCCGAGCTGGCTCAGCAGCCACCTCAGCCCTCCCAGGGTCCCCGCACACGTCCAGGATGCGGCCATCCCAGGGGGGAGCCTCCTCCCTGCCCTCCCCACAAAGGCTGCAAGAATCGCTGCTGCTGTAAAAGGCAGGACCGGAGCTAGCAGGGGGAGGGGCTCCAGGCAAAGGGGCCATCATGACAGAGGCAGCTGGGCAGCGGGGTGACCAGGAATACAGCCCCAGCTGGCCCGCAGACACAGACGCAGGCCAGCTCCTGCCTGCTCTCCAAGGTGCCTCTCTGAGCTTCAGCCTGCCTCAAGTGGGAACAACAGCTAATCTCATTCTCCTGATTCTGATCAGGAGCGATTGAAAAAGTGGCTGTGGGCTCCACCCACAGCAAGCAGTAATGCACGTTTGTTGAGTGACTAAATGACCGCAACAGAGAAGGAAACTGAGGTCTCATGGTCAGTCAGTGGTTCCTGATGCCCAGGTAAGGTTCTCTGTCTAGAACCACCACTCGCTGCACCTGTGGGTGGTTCCAGCAAAGTGGGGAGAGGAAAGTGTGCAGCACTCCAGGCAGGCCTCCCAGAGGGGGCGCTCAGGAGGCTGGAGTGGCCGTGGCAGGTCTGGGACCTGGAAGGTAGGGCCCCGGCTGTGGGAGGCGGGATCGGCCAACTCACCTGAGCGGCCATGTCCACCAGCTGTGGCAGGCGCAGGTACTTGCCCGTCTCCCCCTTGAGGAAGTCCAGCAAACTCCCTGAACAGAGAGACAAGCTGTAGCCCTGGGCTCCCGCCCTGCACCAAGAAGCTGCGATTCCCAGGCCCTGTCCCCGGGCTGCTGGCCTTGCTGTGACCAGCACAGCAGGTGCTGCACGGCCCTGTTTCTGGGTAAGTGTCACTCCACGCCTGTCACTCAGAAAGCAAGCAGGA